TACAGGTAGAGTAATGTCTATACCCCTTATGTGTAGCTTAGCCAACTGAGCTAAGCTGCTCTACCATTTGATTAGGTGTGGTGTACATGTAGAGTATTGTCCATACCCTTTATGCATAGCTTAGCCAACTGAGCTAAGCTGCTCTACCATTTGATTAGGTGTGGTGTACATGTAGAATAATGTCTATACCCCTTATGCATAGCTTAGCCAACTGAGCTAAGCTGCTCTACCATTTGATTAGGTGTGATGTACAGGTAGAGTATTGACCATACCCTTTATGCATAGCTTAGCCAACTGAGCTAAGCTGCTCTACCGTTTGATTAGGTGTGGTGTACAGGTAGAGTAATGTCCATACCCCTTATGCATAGCTTAGCCAACTGAGCTAAGCTGCTCAATCGTTTGATTAGGTGTGGTGTACAGGTAGAGTAATGTCTATACCCTTTATACATAGCGTGATTAGGGTGGGCATTATTGATGTAATGTTCCTACTCCACGATGCATAATTTGATGGGGTTGGGTATGTAGGTGACTAGGACCAAAGTGCAGTAACAGCCCTGATGCAAGTTAATAGCTCACAATTATAGGCTGCTGACGATCATCGAATGTGTATTTAACTATATATTAATGCAGTAGTATGTTACTACTTTCATATTTCCAACTACTTACTTGAAGTAAAGTGCCAGATCTGTGGCTAGAATTGCTGACTCCAACATCTTCAGGACAGACTGATAATCATCTGCAGACAAGGACTGGAAAATGTTGTTATTCTGTAGAAGAATAAATAACAGATTTGGATTTAGATTCATATTGTTATCATAACTAATTTTCAATGTATGTAAATTTATGTAAAATATACAATGAAATTGGTTTGACTGCAGGTAAAAGCAATAAATAACAACAAATATCTCAACTGTTGTTGTTGCTGTTGGATTGGATCATGATAAAATTAAAAAAACATAATTATAATTGTGTTATTAATAGTGCTAAGTTTTCTGATTGATGAAAAAAGATTCTTGATTGACAGATGAGTGGAAGAACGTTCCTATAACATTAATCAGGATAATTTATGATAGATTTTGCCTATTTTTTATAATGTGTTTATCAGGGTTCATACGTTTTTAAACAAGCAAATTTCCAGGACAATTCCAGTACAGGCATATTATATTGCTTAACAGTAAAATATTGGCAATTTTACGATTGATTATAAAACATGTTTGAAGGCTGTACAAATTTTAAATGCATGTTAGTTGAGCTTTATCTAACTCTAATTTGGAGACGATGGATCTGTCTCTTTTTTCACACTTGTGGGAAATTCTGTTTTTCTCACCAGTAAGGTAAGGCAGGGCTGATCGCCTACAGTTGAACTTGGGTAGAATTCTCTTCTAGGCAACACAAATGTGCGCATACAACAATAGTTTTATCTTATCGCTTAAATGCGTCAGTGCCTTCTGTTGTACCAGTGCAAAAAATTACTTGGTCCTTTTGTGGCACTGCTAGGTGGAGTACACGTCTGTCAAGGGTTGCTGTTCAGTGGATGATTTTTTAATTTTCTATACAGCAAATTTTAACGTACGGCAGGGTTCTCATCATACTACTGGCACTGATAGGCTGCCGACCAGCATTGTTTTTTCAATGATTTTGTAAACTTCAAAAACGCAATTAACGAAATACCTTGCTCTGAAATCAAGGACTTTTAACTGTAAATGCCCTTTAAACATGAACTCCATTCATTAAATAACTGTAGAAGGACACATTCCCATGGTTACGTTAATTGTTACTGCCTTGCACTGGATTGGACCAAAACATGTCCATTTGCGCAGAACAAGTGTGCACATCTGGAGATGTGATGAATTATCCAAAGAAAATTTACAGAATTATTAAATATTACTCTTTATAACACACAACAGAAAGCAAATATAAACACCATAGCAGATATCAACAAAATTAATGATTATCAATGACTGAATTAAAATTACATAACATGTACTATCCTGAGAGGAGTGTGACAACACATTCGCACAAATGAATTACTACAATTCATTTTTTAAATATTGGTCGCTATGTCCAAATGAGATTAACATAGTTTACAATAGTTTTAGGGAGCGCCCTCTATCTTTGGATTGGATTGGATTTATTTTATTTATTTTTATTTTATTTAAGACGACTTGTTTCCAGTGGGGTCCTTCTGGTGATGATTGGACAGTACACCGGGAGACAATCCCCTACTCTTTTCCGAAGAGTGTACTGTGTTCTTTAACGTGTACATGGGCCATAAATGCACACGGGACCAACAGCTTAAATGTCTCATCCGAAAGACGGTGCGCTATGTAACTTGTATTTCAGCCCTCTAGCTGAAACACAAGGAGAGGCAGCGATGGGAATTGAACCGGGGACCTAGAGATCTCCACGGTTCAGTGCACACAGTGGCTACCACCAGATTAGCCGACTGAGCTACAGTAAGCTGCTCTTCTACATGTCATGTCATAATGTGATTCCAGTGAAGCCTAGCAACAACTGAAATATTACCAAAGAGTGCCCTTAACTTAAGCATACTAACACTAACAGATGATAGTTTAAGCCAAAATTATATAAATGTCTGGGCCCCACAATATATGAAAGGGAACACTCCAAATTCTCAACCTGCCTCTCTTATTGCACTTGAAAATAATAAAATGGCCATAGCTGATGGCATAGGAAAAATACCACAATATAAGTTACTTCACTCTTTTCATGAAATATACTTACTTCACTATTAAGTATCATGATGCAGTGATCAAAGTGATGATGTTCCATGACTGAGGTTGTGTACAAGAGAGCCAGAGGTGAAGCTATCCTACAAACATATGCAAATTTATCATTAATCAATAGAGTAATGATCATAGTTATTATGGTAATATTTTAGGTAGACCTGATTGATTACCAAAAAATGAGAATTAGAATGAAGGATCCAACTTATTTTAAACTAAAAAGATACTGTACCATTAAGAATTCATTCAGCACTATAGCACATTTCACAAAACATAAGTGCAGTCAAGCCAAGGTGAAACATTAACTACGAAAGATTTGCATGCATGAAAGCTAAGTATTTCTCACACAAGGAGTGAAAATGAATTACAATAGGTGAGTTTTGAGGGAGAAAATGAAACTCATCAACAACTGATCTACATTAAATTTTAATCTTTAAATGTGTTAGTCAATATACGAGCTGACGTGAAAAACAGCTAATATTTCATGACAGTAATCTCATCAGTAGGTTGATGATTAGGCTTAAGTGTAGTAATTTATATCAAGCCAGGAATATGTAATTCACCGATGCTTAGTTATCACAGTAAGGCCAGTGTTGCAGTTGAGCATGATGGCTGGCAACCTACAAGGCTACTCTCAATTTTGTCTGTTAATTAAAAATTAATTGAGTAATTCAATCAATCCAAATCACCTAATATAAGCCAGCTTTTCCATCACCATTCAACAAAATAATTGTTTAATTCTGTCCTTTCAATTATCAAATGATTGATGATTTCTTTCACTACTGGAATGCTTCTCAATCAATTTTTGAGTTCCAATAATTTTGCACTCAGCATTATCCTAGTTGAGTAAGTTTAATTTTATTCCTCTATCATTATTTCTAACACTAAACCTTGGCCAAATATCATGCAAACAAAGCAACAATCTTTTTTTTGCTCTCAGACCACAAAAATAAAAACTGAACACAAACTTACTTTTGTTGAAATGTGTTGTTAGTTCCCCTGTGATCAAGATCATGGCATAAACATGCAACAATCAGTACCATATGTTCTATATCTGAGAACACATGTTCCATATCACCTGTCTAAAAAATGGACAAACTCAACAAAGTCAACATTCAACAATCAGTACCATATGTTCTATATCTGAGAACACATGTTCCATATCACCTGTCTAAAAAATGGGCAAACTCAACAAAGTCAACATTCAATTCAATATACAGTATTTAAATTCACACATGGCACTGGCAGAAACTGAATTACTATTAAAATATATAAATTACTCACAACTCAGTCAAATCGATAGCATATTATCAAGATACAACAGACATTTTAGGAAATACTATAAACTCAGAGGACAGTAAAAATTAGTTATGATGAATATAACAATTTGACCAATACTATTGGCT